GATGATGATGATGATGATGGTGCAAATGGTGGCAAAACTGTCGACTATGATGGCGTGTCGGTAAGAACTGGGCCAAATGCTGACAATTGACATTCCGACATGAACGGCAACAAAATGAGGAAACAAGGTCAAAAATGGGTGGCCGAACAGAAATCTCCACGAAATGACATTGGCAGCTACTGTTGGGTCAACTAGCCCCCAACCGTTCTGCTTGCCCCAACTGCGGTTTAGCAAGTGGCGGCAGCACTGACCTTTTTTCTAGCTGCTGCGGCAGCAGCGTCGACCAGTCCAGCTGCCGAACGGTAAAGTTGACCATGGCGTTCGTGACGAGTTACTGTCGGGATGGCTGCGCGATGATCACAGTCGAAGAATGGCCGAAAAAACAAAACGTGGCAGAAACTGCGGCGGTTGCCATCGACGGCACTGCGGACGTTGAGGCGATCTCGGTTGAGACAGCCGTGGCTGCAGCAAGGGAATTTTACCAGAAGCGAAGGCGGATAAACCCTTGCAGCTGCACGATCTGCTTCTTGAACCCTGATATTGAGCGAACAGTGTTCCCGAAAGTGCTTCATGCTGCAGGATTGTTTGGGGAATTGATGGGGACTTTCTTTGGATCTGCAATGTGTTCCCGAAAACATCGCGGGGGAGCACCTTCGAATCTGAAGGCATTCCCAACATTAGGGTTTAGGGTTTAGGNNGGTTTAGGGAACGCTATTTGCGGAATGTTTGTTGCGAAGCAATATCCGGTTTCCTTTTGAATATCTTTTGGAATGCTTTTTCTTGGAGGCATGCTTCCAGGCAAAAGCCCCAAGCCCAAAATACGGAGACTCCGGATTTCCAGCTCTTCTTGAGCGCGGCAAGGCCGGGAAGGTTGCGAATAGTAATGAAATCTGTGATAGCTGTCTTTGGCTGCAGCTAACGCGCGCATTGATGTTGCCTTCGTGCTTCGGCTGTCAGTCACACCATAGATACATTCATGCATGCTAGACTGAAGTACTTTGAGAGGTTCACGTTCGACGTCTGCAAGTTGCGTCCAGGAGTCCAGCAAGGACATGCGAAATGTCCTGCAATTTCAATTACCATTTCACTGTCACCGACAGTGCTCCCACGCAGGTTGCCAAGCCCGTCTGAACACCATTGTAGAATTCGTGAACGCCAAACGCGCAGGAGAAGAACCTGTTCCCGTGACCGTCGCGAACATTGATATCAACAGAAAGCCGGCCAAAGGTTTCGTTTACGATCCACCTTACCGCACACCGGCCATTACGGGCAAAATGGGTACCGTTTCGACTATGGAGGAACCACGATGCCTGACGCTTTCGGCACAAGAAGAAGCCATGCATGGAAGATGAGGATCTGCAGCTTGCACCAGCATCTTCCGTCCTCGACCTCTTGGCAAAAAGAAGGGATGGAGCAGAACTGTCGGCGCCACATCCCGAGGTACATTCAGGAAGCAGAAAAGCGATCGCATCCATAATATAGATGGGGCATCATGCACAGCTACGATTTGCTTTCGGACGGCACGTGGGGCCACTGACACATTGCCAGGGAGACCTGAATTCGTTGCGATCCCCGGTAGCCGAATCTCAGCGTGGAAATTCTACTGCAGCTCATAGCAAGCCGCACCGGCCTAACGTACGAACAACAATGGCAACGGCAACTTTGCGAACTCGGCAGTAGGGCAACGCTCGGCAAACGGACTCATGCGCAATAGCGAACCGCTGGCTGAGATCAGCCGTCCTGCAGACAGAAGCGCTCTGTCGCCGGACAAGCTCCCACAATGACTGCGTGGACGTTCGGCATTTTGGTCATCAACACCGAGACTGGCAGGATGAAACTGTCACGATCACTCCAGAGAGCTCAAGACCCAAGAGTTTAGGAATACACCTTAAACTGCACAGGGCTGCCATGAATGTTGATGTAAAGAATATATCCCTCCATTGGACTTAGGGATACATAAGTCCAGGGGTTCTCGCGTTGATGCGCCGCACCTGAAGTGCCGGAGGCATCGGCAGCGGCTGAGGCCAACGCCTAGTCATATGAGCAAATGGACTGTCTTGATGCGTAAACCCCGTGCCCCATCTGGGAAAAGCTGCTCGGTTTCTCTGCCGGGACAGGCTGTAAAGGACGAACAACGACATCTCGGCTCTCACGCCGAAGCTGCCGTACTTTCCGTATCGGGGCAGTAGATATAGCTGCTGTTGCTATCACTCCTCGGCATGTCTTGATCCAAGCCACGTTCAGCGATGGTCTGAGGGAAATGATAACGGTAATGATATCGCAAGTGAGACCACGTGTAGTCGGTGTGCCCTGGACCCTGAACCCTGAACCCTAAGCCTTTAAATTTAAAGCCCCATAATCTCACCGGTAATAGAAGGTTTAGGGTTGATGGGTCTTTAGGGTGGGGGTTTAGGTGTACAGGACTCATACGGTTTCGGGTTTGGTCTGCATATTGCCTGAATCCCTGTAGGCACAGCTTGCCGTGCCTGTACCACCAGCCAAGCGCCCCTGCTGTCGGCAGGGAGATCACCAGGGCCAACAGTAGCGTTGATGTGCAAGAAGCCTCCAAAGTGTCATTCAGCTGACTTGGCTCATGTACCCTAAACCCTAAACCCT